ATTGGTAAATCTCATTTTGATTTTGTTATCAAATGGGTTATACTATCTTGATTTGTTCTTCACTGCCCACAATGTTTCGTAACCTTCCTCTGGAAATTGGTTTTAATTTGTTCTTCAAAGGGAGCAGTTTCTGGGTTGTTTAATATTGATGATTTGAAGAGATCCACGACCATGTGGGTATGCTGCAAACTTGCTACAAACATCGGAAATGCCTTTATAGCTTTTCTGGTTTAGATCCAAATAATATGTTGAGGGCCATGAAAATTCCTTCATATAACTTGTGAAATCAAATAATAAGTTCAATGTTTGTGTCTGTAAATTCAATACATTTATAAATATAAACATAGGGCACAAATTCATGTAAAAAGATAAATTTGGTTTATGACTGGTATTAAGGTGTTGTGTGATAGAGTGTATAGGTGTATCCTGGGTATTTTTGGTAGTTAAATAGGGTGTACTTAGTTAATTTTATATTTTAATTAAAATATTAGGGTGTACTTAGATCATAGGGTGTACTCAGTTAATTTTAGGGTTCGTTTAGCAGCACTCTTTAAGTATTGGGGTGAACTAAGAGAAGTGTGAGGTTTAAATAGAAAATCTCATTATTTTTTCTTCAGTATCTTTCTTCCTCTTTCAGATCAAAGAAAATACAAACTAAAAACCACATTTAAAAAAAAAAAAAATTAATATGATGCAAAATTTGGATGGGAAACCAGATTTGAAAGATCTTCACGTTGAACAAACCAAACTACCTAGAAATGCAATCAGAATATCCCCAAATTGCTAGATAGCCTTACAATTTCTATCCATCTGCATATGAGAAGATCTAATCAACCACTTCCCAAATTCACAAAACATAACAAATTTTCGTTTTTAAATGATTAATTGGGGTTTGCATACAAAAATCATAAACACCCACTTCTCAAATTCCAGTTGATCGATCACAAGGCATCAAAGATCAGACTCAACCCTTCAACCATCAAAAACCATTTGTCCCTAAAAAAACCCAATACACCAATTTTACACAAGTTCTCTTAAATCATCACAAATGCCCAAAATTAAGTGATAAATAAATAAAATAAAATGTACTCAACATCTAACCCAGATCTTCAATTCTGGGAAACAGAAAGATGAATGAATGTTTTAAAAAAAAAGATATCAAAATAAATCAAACCCAAAAAACCACAGCACTCAATATTTAACAAAAAAAATCGAAAAGAAAAAGAACAGAGATCCAAAGAAACAAGAACAGAGAAATCAGTTTTAGAAAGAAAAAAAAAACATCAGAAGAGAGGCAACCACATGGGATGGTATATATTCATCATATATACTTTTTGGTTCAAATCAATTCACATGATGTTGTTTAAAAGATTAGTCACATTTCACGTGAATAATATATTTTAGATCTTCCGTACATTTCATTTACATATCATATCCTAAAAAATGTTTTGTACTATATATGTGAAAAATTAAAATGTTTAAACTACCTTTTCTTCCCCTTGATGGCTAATCTAGGAGAAGAACTTTAGGGTTTAGTATTATATATGTCATGTGAAAAAATTAAAATGAAAAATAATATGTGATTGCCTTGAAATATTGACATACTAGCGTCCCGATAGAGGTAAGTTTTTCTCCCGAGTAATGGGAGTAAGGAGAAAGCAAAATGGTGTAGCTCTGCTTTTTATTGGACCAAGCCAGGTTTGGATACCTCTAAAGGCATGTCAATCTAACCAAGCCCAAAATAAAGCGGGGCCTCACCAAAACCTCTCCCAAAATACCCAACAACCGCGGGGTGTCTATACGGCGTCGTCGCTCCCTATCAATTTCATTACTTATAATTCAACGGTCCGGATGGGCCTGAAAGACAACCTAATTTGCTTCCCGCTATCTCTTATCAGTCGTCACCCTCTTCGTCTAAAACCTTGGAATTTCGCTAAAACCATACGGCCAAGGTAATACCATATTCTCTCAGGCAATCCTCTCTGTCATCCAGCGCCCTCTAAGCCTCCGCTTCTCTCAGAGCCGCCACCTCTCTCAGTCGCTGCCATCACAGGTCAGATTGTGTTTTCTTTTTTTCCTTTTTTTTTTCTTTTCCCCTTTGAATCTGTGGCTCACTCCAAATGTTATATTCTTCACAGATTCAGCACAGCAGTTCGCAGCCATCTCTTCATTTTATTTACCTCTCTTTCTCTCTGTCAGGTATGATTCACCTCTTCAATTTATTTAATATCTGATTGCTATGCTGCCAAGTTCAGTTTAGTTCTTAGCTTTGTTATTGTCTGCTGGGTTGTGGTTCAAATTGATTTAGGATTATATGGGTTTTACAAAGGGATGGGAAAAAAATACTACAGATTGCTTGCGGCTGCTGTTCTGTTCATGATTAAGGAAAAAAAATAGTACATAGTGTATTTCAAATTGGAAATTCTTATTAGTACTTACAATGCTTATGTGAATCTGAAATTTACTTGCTCAATTTGTTTGCGAGATTGAATCTGAAATTGTTAATATTTTATTGGTTGTATATGGCATTACCATGTGAATCTGAAATTGTTATTAGTACTTACAATGCTTTAGTACAATTCATTGATTTAGGAAATTGAATTGGCAGCAGTTGGTGCAGATCAGCAAAAGATTTCTGGAGCAGTTTGCAGCTTTTCTGCCACTCTCTGAGGTATTCTTCATTTCTCTCTCTGTCTCTCTGTCTCAGATTTTGATGTTTTGCAGAAATTCTGCAGATTTTTTAGTTGTTTTTTGTGGATAAATGTCCTCTGTTTTTTGTGGATAAATGTCCTCTGTTATTAATAAGAATTCTGCTAACATTTGCCTTATGTTGTGAATAAGCTTTCTTTAGTCTCTAGCTCCGATTTTTTTTTTCTTGAATAGATTAGATGAAAACAATGCTGCCACTTATGTTTCCATGAACCAAAACAAATCATGAAAAGGAACTATACAGAGGGATGGTCTATTTTAATATGTAGAGGATATATATATACAGCTTTTAACTCATAGACTGTTTTGTTTAGGGTTGTGTAAGGACCTAATTTTGAGCTTTATTAAGCTGTTTTATGTTTGATTAAACTGTTTTGAGCTTTATTAAGCTGTATTAGCATGAAATTAGCATTAATGTTGAAGATTTTGTTTTGTTTTGTTTAGTTGGATTGATAATGTTTGAGTTACTGTTTTTTTTTAAATTGAGGTATTGTTTTTTGTTAATATCATGTTTATGTTGCTGTTTTTTGTTTTTTAAAGAAATCATGAATGAGTTGAACCCATTTGGAGAGGTGCATGCCACTATTAATAGTGAAGTTAGTTCGTCATCCGCATCCATATCCACATCCGCATCCGCATCCGCATCCACATCAACACATTTACCCAATTTACCCATCCCTCAAACACCAACTCAAAGTACACCTCATGCCCAAACACCACCTCAACCTAGTGGTCTTCCACCATTACCTCATTCCGGCCCAAGAAAAGAAAAATCGGAAGTAAGGGATCACTTTGAGAGATATGAAGATGTGGTTGAGAGTGTGAAGGAGGATGGGAGCAAATATGCAACCACTAATAAGAGAGCTAGGTGCAAGTATTGTGAGAGAGACAGAGATAAGATCAACTTAGATACGTCATCTTCTAGGGTTGTGAGTAGATCAGCTTCCTTGATGTGAACATGCAGATCTTTGATACCTGAAAAACAAAGACAACAACTTCATTTAATTCCGCATATAAAAAACCTCTACAAACAAGATGACCGAGTAATATTATAAATGAGAATATGATGACACCATTACACCAATGACCTATGACAAAAATATACAAACAAAATCTGATTGCAGATAATTAGAAACTTCAAATACTTAAGTCTTTTTTGTAAGCTAGTTATAATTATTACATAATTAATCCTATATCTATTCTCATAAAACAAGGAGGTCAATACTTGGAAATTCATAAGTGACTTATAAATATCATATCATAAGCTTTTCTATAATGTTTTAAATAGATTATACAATACCAAGGACATCTTTCAAGTAAGATCAAGAAGGCCCATGGGCCCCTAGTCCAATCCCGCTGTAACACATTGCAATTATATTGCAATGTCGCCACCACACAATCCAAAAATAAGTGTAATTTGAACTTTAAAATCCCCAGAAATTGCAGGCTCTTGTAAAAAAGGTCAAACGGACTAAATGTACTCCTAAAGTAATTACTTCTCAGTATAGCATCCAAACAAAACATTTTAGAAAAAAAAATATAAATCATATCCTTCACTTAGAATTAGAACGAATGTGATATTAAAAATCACCATTAATTTCACGCAGCTCTTTGGCAGTGCAAGCTGCTTGGGCTGGTCCCCGCCTCCCAACCAAATACACTTTCCTGAAATGACAATGACATCATTAAATATGAAACCCAGATAAAGTAGCAATTATAATGTCTGGTTATTCTCAAGATATGGGATAGCAAACCTTATAGAGCTGTCCTCAAGAGCTGCCAAAGCATGGCTCACAATATCTGTTGTAGCCAACTCTGTTGTTGGTCGTAAAAGAATGCGTGCAACATCAAGAGCTACATTGCCCTGAAACCAAAAGGAGCTATTTGGTAGGGATAAAACTCCTACGTAATAATAAAATTAATTTAACAACAAAGAAACACACACAAATAGAAAGAATTTACCTTCTCAGCAGTGTAGAAGCCAGCAGGTCCACTTCCGACGACACAGACGAGCAGAGGGTGAGAAGCAACGGTCGAGAAGGTTCTAGAGAACGACGTCCTGGCTTGAAAAATTGTCATTTTCATTGAACTGAAAAAATGAATCTGATCAAGTCGGTGAGCTTATAAGTTTAGAATTTGATCCTCAGACTACGCCGTCGAGGAGGCGCCAATGGGGTAGCGAGCGTGTGGGTGGGTGGGCAGAAGTGGTGCGGTGGGGATGTGGTATGCAGCTTGATTTTTGATGCCGCTGCAAAAGTGACATGTGCATCTCACGTGAGTCAGATTGTAGAGAATTATGAATGAAATGAAAGTCAAGACACAGATAGGTGGATATCCGGGTCAGCTTTAGAACTCGGCCCATACTGCATGTTATAGGCCCATTGGACGCGTTGAGATGTTGGGTTAAGCTGACTCGATTGATAACCTTTTCTTTTGATTGGAGCCCGCTCGCGTGTTTGTTTTAGCTCGTGTCATCTTCTAAAACTTGCATATTTGCTCCCATCCTCCTTCACACTCTCAACCACATCTTCATATCTCTCAAAGTGATCCCATACTTCCGATTTTTCTCTTCTTGGGCCGGAATGAGGTAATGGTGGAAGACCACTAGGTTGAGGTGGTGTTTGGGCATGAGGTGTACTTTGAGTTGGTGTTTGAGGGATGAGTAAATTGGGTAAATGTGTTGATGCGGATGCGGATGTGGATACGGATGCGGATGACGAACTAACTTCACTATTAGTAGTGGCATGCACCTCTCTAAATGGGTTCGACTCATTCATGATTTCTTTAAGAAACAAAAAACAGCAACATAAACATGATATTAATCAAAAACAATACCTCAATTTAAAAAAAACAAAAACTCAAACATTATCAATTCAACTAAACAAAACAAAACAAAATCTTCAACATTAATGCTAATTTCATGCTAATACAGCTTAATAAAGCTCAAAACAGTTTAATCAAACATAATAAAGCTCAAAATTAGGTCCTTACACAACCCTAAACAAAACAATCTATGTGTTCAATCAAACATGGGCTTATTTTAGCAACTTGATTAGTTTGGATTAGAAGCTCACTAAGTGGGCATATATTAGACCATTTAAAATCATGGGCTTAACTAACACCAGCCCAAGATAACACAAGTTTTAGAAGACGACACGAGCTAAAACAAACACGCGAGCGAGCTCTAATCAAAAGAAAAGGTTATTAATCGAGTCAGCTTAACCCAACATCTCAACGTATCCAATGGGCCTCTAACATGCAGTATGGGCCGGGTTCTAAAGCTGACCCGGATATCGACCTACCTGTGTCTTGACTTTCATTTCATTCATAATTCTCTACAATCTGACTCACGTGAGATGCACATGCCACTTTTGCAGCGGCATCAAAAATCAAGCTGCATACCACATCCCCACCGCACCACTTCTGCCCACCCACCCACACGCTCGCTACCCCATTGGCGCCTCCTCGAAGGCGTAGCCTGAGGATCAAATTCTTCACTTACAAGCTCATCGACTTGATCAGATTCATTTTTTCAATGAAAATGACAATTTTTCAAGCCAGGACGTCGTTCTCTAGAACCTTCTCGACCGTTGCTTCTCACCCTCTGCTCGTCTGTGTCGTCGGAAGTGGACCTGCTGGCTTCTACACTGCTGAGAAGGTAAATTCTTTCTATTTGTGTGTGTTTCTTTGTTGTTAAATTAATTTTAATAAAGCATTGAAATTTGATATGATTGGTATGAATTGAGCTGAAATAGATGCTGAAGGCGCATCAAGAAGCACAGGTGGATATCATTGATCGTTTGCCAACGCCTTTCGGGTTAGTCCGCTCCGGCGTAGCACCTGATCATCCTGAAACCAAGGTGACCATATTATTCTGAGTCTCAGTTCTTTCTTTTTTCGTAAAATAGTTCAAGAAAATTGAAATTGGTGAACTCACACATTATCAAAAATCGAGTTTACTTCCTCTTATAAGAAGTATCCTCTGAATTTTATCAGTTTATTTTGTTGAATTCTCTTGGTGTGGCGAGGATTAAATTTTTTATTTGAGCTTATTTTATTAGAAAACTTGCAACAGATTGTGGTCAACCAGTTTACGCGGGTTGCGCAACATGAACGCTGCACATTCTTTGGAAATGTAACTCTTGGTTCCTCTGTAACTCTCCCTGAGCTTCGTGAGTTGTACGACGTGGTGGGGTTCTGACTCAATGTGTGTAAATAATGCCGGCATTGGCAATGTCATTCTTGGTATGCTTATTTGTTTGACCAACATTATGTGCAATACGCAGGTTGTGCTTGCCTATGGTGCTGAAAGTGATAGAGTTCTTGGTATCCCCGGAGAAGTATGTTTTGCTTGTTTTGGTTTTGTTTCTTTAATATTGTGGTACTTTTTGATCAATAGAATTGCAACTAATTTTTTTTTGTTTTTGAAATAATTGGTTTTTACCTCTTTCTAGGATTTGAGCGGCGTCTATGCAGCAAGAGAATTTGTTTGGTGGTATAATGGGCACCCAAATTGCAGATACCTAAACCCCGACTTGAAGAGCTCTGATACAGCTGTAATTCTTGGTCAGGTATCTTCATACTTCATCAAGTTAATAAATAGAATTGACCTTCTCTTAAGTTACAGTTAATAAATGTACTTCACGATCCTTGTCACAACACAAACAAATAGCCTTTTATTATTACGTAGGAGTTTTATCCCTACCAAATAGCTCCTTTTGGTTTCAGGGCAATGTAGCTCTTGATGTTGCACGCATTCTTTTACGACCAACAACAGAGTTGGCTACAACAGATATTGTGAGCCATGCTTTGGCAGCTCTTGAGGACAGCTCTATAAGGTTTGCTATCCCATATCTTGAGAATAACCAGACATTATAATTGCTACTTTATCTGGGTTTCATATTTAATGATGTCATTGTCATTTCAGGAAAGTGTATTTGGTTGGGAGGCGGGGACCAGCCCAAGCAGCTTGCACTGCCAAAGAGCTGCGTGAAATTAATGGTGATTTTTAATATCACATTCGTTCTAATTCTAAGTGAAGGATATGATTTATATTTTTTTTTCTAAAATGTTTTGTTTGGATGCTATACTGAGAAGTAATTACTTTAGGAGTACATTTAGTCCGTTTGACCTTTTTTACAAGAGCTTGCAATTTCTGGGGATTTTAAAGTTCAAATTACACTTATTTTTGGATTGTGTGGTGGTGACATTGCAATATAATTGCAGTGTGTTACAGCGGGATTGGACTAGGGGCCCGTGGGCCTTCTTGATCTTACTTGAAAGATGTCCTTGGTATTGTATAATCTATTTAAAACCTTATAGAAAAGCTTATGATATGATATTTATAAGTCACTTATGAATTTCCAAGTATTGACCTCCTTGTTTTATGAGAATAGATATAGGATTAATTCTGTAATAATTATAACTAGCTTACAAAAAAGACTTAAGTATTTGTAGTTTCTAATTATCTGCAATCAGATTTTGTTTGTATATTTTTGTCATAGGTCATTGGTGTAATGGTGTCATCATATTCTCATTTATAATATTACTCGGTCATCTTGTTTGTAGAGGTTTTTTATATGCGGAATTAAATGAAGTTGTTGTCTTTGTTTTTCAGGTATCAAAGATCTGCATGTTCACATCAAGGAAGCTGATCTACTCACAACCCCAGAAGATGAGGTATCTAAGTTGATCTTATCTCTGTCTCTCTCACGGTTACTGTTATAGCTAAATATAGAAATTGATGTTTTGAAGTATTCTAAGCTGTTATTGGTGGTCTATTAAGTCCCTTTACTGTTAGTAATTTTCATGAACCTTGTTGCTGTCTTTTGGTAAGGAGGAGATGAGGAATAATCGAATTCGAAAAAGGGTTTATGAGTTGCTCTCAAAGGCAGCCACGACTAGGGCTTCACACCCCAGTTCAGATCCACGTGAATTGCACTTTGTTTTCTTTCGGAAACCAGATAAGTTTCTAGAATCTAATGAGAGAAGTGGCCATGTTTCTGGTGTCAGACTCGAGAAGACAAAACTCGTAGGTAATTTATACTCCATATAATTTGTAGTAAAAGTGTTTATGTATTTTCCAATGAAGTGAGGCCATATCACATGTAAACAACACATTACTGAATGATTGTACCATATGTCATCATCAAATGACAAAACTAATGATGGTAAAATGTAAGAGGTCAAACATCAAGTTCCAAATAATTATGGAAGCTGTCAATAGCACAAGTAAATGATTCTATTTTTTTGTCATCCAAGTGACAATGACTAAATTGCTTCTTTCAACTTCACTTTCTAGGTGATAGACCAGGAGAACGAATGGCTGCAGGTACTGGACAGTTTGAAGATCTTGGATGCGGGTACTTTCTTCTGAAATTCAGCCATTGCTAATTTTATACTAGAGGCATACACATGCAATGTGTGTGCAGTTGCTTGTGATAAAAGTAAGGGTGGGAGAGAGAGAGAGAGAGAGAGAGAGAGAGATGGTACTGACAACAGTGGCAATGTGCTTTCTTTCTTCTACAGGATTGTGCTTAAGAGCATCGGTTACAAATCAATACCAGTTGATGGATTACCCTTCGATCATCGGAAAGGTATGTAGATGCTGTTATATGAAGTGAGGCATATTATTCTATCTGGATCTTAAGTTTCCCTCAAAACCCTATGTTTAAGCATCAAAGTTGATGAGATTGTACAAAATATGGGGAAGATCATTCACTCAGATATGCTAATGCAAACTTCATACTGATTTGGAACTTTAGTTGGTTCAATCTTTAGAAAGCCTCAATTCACCTGGTTCCATAGAAGTTTTGATTTGTGACAAAATGTTTCCTATTTCTGGAATATTACTAAATTAGCTTCTTGCCAGAAGTGGTTCTATATTGACCACAAGAGACAAAGCAAGGATTATAATGATGATCTTCTTTGCAGGCGTGGTTCCAAATGTTAGAGGGCGAGTTCTAAGTGATACATCTGAAGATCCTATGCTGCTCGAGAAGGGTTTGTATGTATGTGGATGGTTGAAGAGAGGACCAACTGGGATCATTGCTACAAACCTCTATTGTGCAGAAGAAACTGTAAGTGGTCTTTTACATTACTTAGATGGAAAGGTACTGGTTAATAAGGTGTAT